AATTTAGTTCTGAACAACTTTAATTAATAACTCTTGACGAAAAAATCATCTCAAAATTTAATAATTTGCTTGGGACCGTTTAACAACCCTAATCATATGATGATTTGTTTTGGTTACACTAAATTACAAATTTGAACACGCGTGCGGATTCATAATGCGGATGCATCAAAAAGGTAACTATTTTGCATCAAAAACGTAACTTTTGTATCACTTTACATGTACACTAATAGTCTGTCGCTACGCTCTAGACAACTACTTAAAGCACAATAATAAAATCGACTAAATAAGCATTTATAACAACATTCCTTTCATTCTTTTTAAAACAGGATTTTGAAACTTATAGTATATTAAAAATTGTCTTCGAAAATTTAACTTATTAAATATGAGCAATATTTATATCATTTATGACGAGGTTAAATTTACAGGGCAAAAACTTGGTAAAGGATCAGCGGGTGAGGTTGAACTTGGAGAATACGAAGGAAAAAAAGTGGCTGGTATTTTCCTTTTTAGATTACTTTCTATGTTGAAAACTTATGCCACATAGTTCACGATTATATTTTCACAATCAAACGATTCGTTAATGACAATCTTAACGAAATCATAGAAGAATAAAAATCTTCGATCTGAAAATATAACTGAGTTCTATGGTGTGGCAAGATCCCCAAATGACAAAACGTATTTGGTCACGAAATTTGCTGAAAAGGGAACTTTACGCGATTACTTTGAAAAAAATGAGCCTGGTTGGAGCATAAAAGTAAAAATGACTGTCGATATCGCGAATGGTTTGTTAGAATGTCATAAGTATGACATCGTACATTCGGATCTTAAATCAGAATATATTTTAGTGGATTTCAGTGAACAAGCACTTGGTACTAAAAATTTCTGATTTGGTTTAAGCATTACAAAAGCAGAACTAGACCTTGGAGAGAAAGCTGGTGGTAAGCAAGTAAATTTTATATTTTCTAAAGTAAGAATATTCTCCAATTAAAAATTCTTTTTAAAATTATTTAGGGGCTAAAAAATGGAGGGCACCTGAACGTTTTGCTGAATATAAACCATTAGCTTTGTCAAAAAGCCATAGACTCATGGAATAACACAAATAATGAATTAAACCATACCGACGCAAATAAATTTGTAAGAACACAAAGTAAGCACCAAACGATTTCTCGCTAGAAAACTATATGTAGTGTACTAGTATAATATAATATAGAATACTCGTTTCTAACCTCCTTTAAACAATCAAGCGCATATTATAATAAAATTTTTTATAATTTTTATAATTTCTGTTTTTGTTAATTTATTTTCTATTCACATCTTTAATGAGTTTCAACAACATTAATCTGTATCTTCATCTTCTATTAGCTGTATTGCCCTTTACAGTTTCGTCATTTCGTCATTTAAGATTTTAATTGACGAAAGGCGAAACTAGGTTTCGCGTTTTGTCAGCGCGAAACCTCAAGGTTTCGTCTAACAACTATAGTTAGGGGATAGATTAGTTTAGCTAATTTGTTTAACAAATGAAGTAATTACATAATTTCACGTGATGTGATCCGAAAATTCGTTGTGCATGTACCGTACCGCACTGCCCCTAGTATCCGGGTATTATCAAAAAAAAGGGTATTATACATGACAATATATCCATGGGTACTTAACCAAGAGTGGGTACTATGCTTGGAGGGTATTGTGACTTGGAGGTAGGCTTTGTTATTAAATCAATTTTAATTAATCTATCAACCTGGAATTTTAATACCCGGGTCTTATATAATTTTTTCGAGAGTTTTTTTTGTAATGTACCCGGGTATTATTTGAAGAGGGATATTGCATAAGGGGGTATTAAAGGCAGTGCGGTACGGTATTGTTTTTTGCTCAAAAATTAACAATTATTGAATAATATTGGGCTACCCGGATCATCCGGATTCAAGCTCTAATAAGGAATAATACTGCAGATCAATTCATATTATATTTACTAAATAAATGCAATATGATAATTTTCAAGGCACACCGCATTAGCGCATCGCTTTATATTGTTAGAGGATTATCACTTATTCCTATATGAAGAAAATTTTAATATAAATTAACGACTAACCGTGGAAAGAAAATATAATTATATAATATATCGTCTATTAATCCTAGATATTTTGAAAAATTTATTTCATAAAGATGTTAGGAAAGAAGAAATTGTTTATATTATTATTACTATGCTTACCTCTTGGATTTTTTTTTTTTAAACTTTTCCAGAGACACCGGACGGCGTACCTACCTCTCGGATTAAATGCACAATTAAACGATACCGACATATATTATCTTGTATTGGGTGATTCGTTTGCACGTGGTGTTTTTAAACACAAAGGCAACAAAACACCTCATTCGTATTCTTATGCAGACGCGTTATATGAACGGCTCAAGGAGACAAATCCTAATCTTGTTCTCAAAAAATTTGCGCGTGGTGGTCAAACCACTGGAACTCTTATTAGTGATCAATTAAAAAGAGCTACAAAGTTTATGAAACGTAATAGTGGATTAACAAAACTTGTTACAATTACTATCGGTACAAATGAATTTGCAGGCTGTACTTCCAAATGTGACAATAGGCTTAATAAAATAGTGTATAATTTAAACAATAAGATAATTCCCATATTAAAGAAAGCAGGAGGTGAGGGTGTGCAATATTGGGCTACTACTTATCATAATATACGCTTAAATTCTAATGCACTAGATGATAGTTTAATTAAAGTTTACAACGATAATGGGGTCAAAGTAGTGGATATGAGAAATATTATTACAAACGAAACAGCGTGCAGTTATACTTACTCGTGCGATTATCATGATAAACATCCAAATGTAAATGGTAGTCATGCAATTGCTAATGTAATATACAATAATTTAACTTTGCCGCTATGAATTTAATAAGTTCCAATATCTTTTTTATTTTCTTATTTAATATAGTTTACTTTTACTACATTACTGAAACATGTTAAATTTTTTTATGATTTGTTATAGTTTTAGAAATTATAATAAAATTATTAAAATTATATCTTATTCCTTAAATTGTAGGCAATTCCAGGCAAATTTAACTGGAAAATTGTTATAAATTTGCTTATAATTTATTTTTTTAAAAAATTTAAAAAATTTAAATAATTTTTTTGATAATATTTGAGAATAAAAATTATATTATAATATTTAAATTTTATATTATAAAAAATTTTTTAGATTATTTATAAACTAAAAACAAACAAAATTTTAATTAAAAAATTATTTATAAATTTTTAGCAAACATTTTTAAATACTAGTAAAACGGCGCCGTTTCGCAGGGCTGGAGCCTTATTTATTACACGCTTAAACATGGAAATAGAATT